TGTGGAAAATCTGTAAAGTCTGAAAGGCTGTAAAGCCTGTAAAATTTGTAAAGTCTGTAAAATCAAATCTGTAAAGTCTGTAAAATCTGTAAAATATTTGTGAAATCTGTAAAATCTGTGAAATCTGTAAAATCTGTAAAATCCGTAGTCTGTAAAGTCTGTAAAATCTGTAGTCTGTAAAATGTGTAAAATGTGTCAAGTCTGTAAAATCTGTAAAATAAAATCTGTAAAGTTTGTTATATCTGTAAAATAAAATCTATAAAATATAAAATCTATAAAATCTGCTCGACAGGAAGGAAGGAATCCCAGAATCCCAGAACCATCAGGGTGGCAGTGACAGGCTGTGACAGTGACACCAGGACAATGAGGTTTCCTGTGAGATGTGGAATCTCCAAAATCTCTGGAATTTGCAGCTCGAGCTGCAGTGAGGAGTTTCCAGTTGGGATTTAGAGGTCACCAATGCCCAGCCTGGTACTCTCACCGTGGGATGAACCCACAGAAAAACACCCTGGGGAAAAATGAGCAGGGAAAGAGCCAAARGGAGGAGGGGAGCACAGGAATTACAGAGTAACTGAGACAGAAATTCAGGGACAGCCACAAGAAGGACATAAAGCACTCAGGGTGCTCAGTTCTGCTCTCTGCTTCTCCCTGGGTCTCGTTTCTCAAGCTGAAATGAGGATTTCCAGTTGGGGAGTGATGGAGAGAGCAGGAAAAAAGATAAAAGAGGAGGAGGGGAGCACAGGAATTACAAAGTAACCAAGAGAGAAATTCAGAGAGAGCCACAGAAGGACACGGAGGGGCTCAGTTCTCTTTCTGCTCCTCTCTGGGCCTGTTTCGAAAACTGCAGCAAGGATTTCCAGCTGGGGAACAATGGGGAGAGCAGGGAAAAAGATAAAAGGGGAGAAGGGGAGAGCACAGGAATTACAGAGTAACTGAGAGAGAAATTCAGGGACAGCCAGAGGAGCACATGGAGCACTCAGCTCTGCTCTCTGCTCCTCCCCAGGCCTCGTTCCTCAAGCTGAAATGAGGATTTCCAGTTGGGGAGTGATGGAGAGAGCTCGAAAAAAGATAAAAGAGGAGGAGGGAAACACAGGAATTATAGAGAAATTCAGGGACAGCCAGAGGAGCTCCCAGAGCACTCAGTTCTCTCTCTGCTCCTCCCACCCCTCCCATTCCCACGTGGGAACATCATCGA